TATATTATCCAGAGAAATTGTGAACTCTAGGCCACCGAAGTCAAATCAGGTTTTGCATCAAACTAAAAATGAGGAGATATTAGGAATGTCCCAAATGAAGGAAGATATTTTAATAGTTTAACCCAATTAAAGTTCATTTTGCTTTATTTGTTTAACTTACTTTGTTTAACAATATTCGAAATCATAGTCATAAAAAAAACTCTCAAAAGAAACCCCAAACCAAAGCAAAAAACCTCAGACTAAAACAAAAAGAAAAAAACCAAAACAATCCCAAACAAACAGAGAGAAAAAAAAAAGCTCAAATTAAATCTTCCTGATAAATCATCCTGAAAAACAAAGTAACCTATCAATCATTTCCAATCAAAAAATCCTAACATTTAATCACAAGCATATTCACACTTCAACATGGATCCACTTCTGTCTTTAAGCTTCTAATTAATAATTGTGTTGTCAAAATGCAGAATCATGAAAAGTCCTTAAGGCTTTTCCTGTACAGAAGATGATGAATACTTGTACTTAGACAATCAAAAGTTTATTTAGTTGTTAAAGAATATGTCTCCTTAAAGTAGAATCATTGAATTATAGAATAATTTAGGTTGGAAAAAAAACTTTAAGATCATTGAGTCCAACCTTTAACCCAACACTGCCAAGTCCACCACTAAACCATGTCCCCAAGTAAGTTCAAAGAATCAAAATTACAGGCTTTTTGCCATTTTTAATCCAATTTTATATGCTAAAGAAAGTGAATATCTAATAAATGATTACTGAAAAAGGCACTTCTCTCTAAGCTGTGGACTGCTGGTCTATGGATGTTATCTACTATGATGGATTTATTATACCAAGGTAGGTACTATGGGGTAAATTATATCATCCTTACTCATACATCATATCAAGGATGTAATTTTCTTTACGGGGTGTGGATGTATGAAAAATCAGTGGAACCCATTCTTGCTGATTCATTGGATAAGGAAGATTTAATAAAATGTAAAAAAAAAAAAAAAGAAAAGATGAGATAAAAATCAGATTGTTTCTAAGGTAAGTATGTCAAAGATTGGATGGTTTCTTTCTGACAAAATTCAGATGAAAACTAGTCTCTGATGAGTTTCTGCTTACCAGCTACTTTTGTAATAAAAACTTTCCTATTTGCAATGATCTCTGAGGCCTCCTGTCCCTCTTGGCTTCATGGTCCTGCATCGTGAAGATAACCTCACAGTTATTGCGCTTGCTTGAAAGCTATTGTCTCATAGGCAGGCAAATGCAGTAAAATAGTGCCCAAAGACAAATGCTGACAATTTTGCTTTTTCTCTCTGAAGAAAACAATTCCTTTCTCAGGCTGAATCTGCTATGGTAGCTGTTTCACTGAACTACATAAAAACTAAAACAAAAGAAATACTTGTAGTTAAAATGATGAAGGTGGATTTATTTACAGAAAAAAATGAATAACTTTATATGCAAAGAGCTGAAGTTATGCCAGTGTTTTTCACCATATCCTCCATGGAGCTTTCCAATATGTTGAAAGGGCATTATAGTAGGCATTTTGCAATGTCACTGGCTTATCTCAAAGGGATATGCAATATCCATTGTTGACACAAACAGCCTACTATATTCTGAAATTCTTATATTTGTTCCCATCAGAAGCATAATGAAAGATTCTAGTTTTATGAAATCAGAGAGCTTTTCCTTTTCAAGCTAGGTGTACTTCACAGCATGAGTTTATGAAGTATGCTTTTCTTTGGTTTCTTCATTGTTTTTAAAATTACAAAAAAACCCAAACCAAACCAAACCAAACTAACAAACAAAAAACCTATAAATGCATTTTGGGAATAGCTGAAAAGAATTGAATTTTTCAACCAAAAAGCTTTGTAAGTGCCTCATGCTTTTCTGGATAAATAATCACAAGTAGTGATCTTGTCCTAGCTGACCACAGACAGACAATGACCGAATGGTACTTTCCACAGTCTTTGTTCACAAATTACACAGATTCTCCCAGCTTCCAGATCTCCAGTTTGCTGGAAAAGGTTGCAAACAACTGTTCTTATCCTCAGTTGTCTCCTTCCCTAAAGAACTGTCCACAAGAGGGCTAGGCTTAGCATAGATTAAAAACAACCCAAAAATCTTTAAAAACTTAATGTAGTCAGCAATGTCATAATTTAATTTTGATACGGACTGGGATTTTTCTGAAATGCAACTGTTAAAGTAGGTAGAAATTCATAAGACTGCAATACAGTTAAATTTGTACAACTTGTTGACATTTGTAAGGCTTAACTGACAAATTTAATTGCAAATTACAACATAACAAAAATTACCACAGAGCAATGTTGTGCATAAAGACTTATTTGAATAAGATTTTGCTTCAAAAACAAACTAACAAATAACATCTACCATGAAAGAACAGAAAAAGTATTTTTAAGTGCTAAATAAAGAACTTGTCTTGCAAGAAAATAGTTTTTCCCTAAGGCTACTCTCTACCTTCAGGATTCATTGTAAAACTTCAAACCAAAAAAACCCAAACAAAAAAAACTCCATGTAACACATATTCTGCTTTCTTTCCTGCTATTTCAGTGTGCAGTTACTCCCAAAATGTCTGTTCTAGTGAAGACAGGGAAAAAGGAGAAACTAACTAAGTGAAAAAATACTAATTCACCAGGAAGTATCCTGTTGCTACTCCTTTAAGATAATTAAGTCTACTTTTTTAGCACTGTGAGGACACTTTTCCTTCACCAAACTGACAAATCTTAAGGAACCAAGCAAATTTTGGGGCCAACTCCACATTAAAAAAAAAAAAAAGTATTTCTTTCATGGGCAGAGTATTATTTGCCTTCAAAGAAAGGAATGAAGTTTTCTGTCTGACCAGCCTGACAGTTGTCTCCAGTCTTCCCCATTCTCTGTTACTGAGCACGCCCCTCAGTAACAGCACACTGAATAACATGGAGAAAACCGCCCAGTCACTGTCTGACCTCCAGTATGCCTTTCTTCCAAGAAACCGCCTCAGCTACTATTGTATTTGGGCGTAACACTCTCAAGGATGCCAAGAGGAAAAAAGGGGAAATCAAACTGGGATTTTAGTGAAGACTGAATTCAGAAAAGCTGCAGTCAATACCCATGATTCAGGCAGTATAAAATCCTACAATAGCATTTCTACATCTAATTTTTTTGTTTGATTTTCTAAAAAGATCTGATCACATGATACTAAGGAACTCCAGTTTTTAAAAACTTGCTTAAATCAGAATGAATTTATCATACTGTAAAGAGACTTCTACATTATTCTGACTATGAACCAACTGGGAAAAAAAAAAAACACAAGAAAAAGGAGGAGGTTCATAAGAAAAGTAATGCACTATCAAGGTTTTCTGCATAGTATGTTTAGCTTTGCCTGTTTTCCATAAACCTAGGGTACAGACTGTGCTTAAAACAGCTTTTTTTTTTTTTTTTCTCTAATAAAAGCAAAGAGAAAACTAGGAAAAAGCATTTGGATTGATGCCTAAAGTCTCATTTTAAGGTTCTGTGACCTTTTCTCCCAGCTACCTAATGGTAGAGAGAGACAATGGTAGAACCATAAAATGTTCTACTGTAAGTAAAAAGCTGTACTGAAAGAACATTTTTAAAGTTGCAAAATCAAGTACTCAAAGACAGCAAAACAAGTCTTAAACTGCCTCCCTTCATATGTAAAATCATGTAGTCTTTAAATACACCATGACATAGGGATTTTTTCTAGATCTTAGCCCACCTCATTTAGAGTATGTAAAGAATGGAATTCAACTAATCAGCAGGTCTTTGACATTTTGTTTATTTTTATTGTTCAGTGTGTGTTGCTAGGCCTCATCCATGCACACCACTCAAATCTTGAGCTGAAGGCAGAATTATGCGTTTTCTTCTGGGCGTCCCTATGATGCTCATCATGCAAATCTTTGAGAGCTTCTTGAGAGTTAATTTGTCTTAACAAGACCTCTCTGAAGTGACACAGTAATATATTCCACTTTACAGACAGACAGCAGAGACACATAGACAACGATCAATGCTAAGCTACCCAGGGTCCAGATTGTGGGGGTTTGTCGCATTTTACGATAATCTACACCTTCAATCACAGCACCCGTTCACTTTAATTGCAGCTGTGACTGCTCAGTGCTTCTTCATCTCAACCATCAGGATCCTGAGGCAGGCATTCAGAAATGAGAAGCACACTCTTATGGACCCTCTGTTATGTAAGGGACTGTGGAGTATCCCTCAGGACCTCTGGCAGTCAGAGAGAGGTTCTGCTTCTCCAAGCCAGAACTTAGCTGCCCTGAGATGAAGGCATCCATTCTCTTTCAATACTTTTAAAGCATAAGTACTATATATTACAGTATCCTTTATTTTCTGGACCTGAGCAAGAAGCCATTCTTATACTAGGAGAATTTTGACTGCTGAGTGAAGCATGAGCCAAAGTCAAGAATAAGAGACATTCACCTAAAGTGCATCCTAATTGCTTGTAAATGAAAGGAATTAATTAAGCTGATGGACAAACTTTATTTTGACATTTTCTAACTTTCAACCCCTTCGCTGGTGCTTCATCTCCTTGTCAAATCTTTCTTTTTTCTTGCTTTTCTTCTATTTCCCCAGATTCTAATTGCAGGGGGAGTTGCAAGAGGCAACAGTGACATCCTGAGAGAGGCTCAAATGAGCACTTGGGTTAACAAAACCAAAGAGCAATCCTTAATAAAGAGAATCAACCTCCTTTTTAACTTCTAAAAATTACAAATTTCATCAGACAATACAAATTTTCCCTTTTAATAGTAAAGAAATATTTGAAATAATCACCAAAAAGAAAGTTGAAAATATCAGTCAAAATATTAAAGAAACTTTTTTGTTTTTATTTTTAACTGAGCTTGTTGGATGGCAACACTCAGCCATTGTTTCAGTCATCAGCTGATCAGCTTCTTGCAGGGCTAGGTAGCCCATACTGGCATGGTTTTATGGGACCAAAGCACTCCAACCTTATTGCTGACTAGCAGCACAATAGCTTTCATTTCTAACCTTTATTGAGCTTGGAATCATAATCTCCATAAACATTTTTTCCTTAATAGTTAAAACAGATGCATAGATCCGGGATCTGCAAGCTGGGCAGAATGGTGAACATGCATGGGCATTTAAGATTTTGAAGGAGCATTTGATCTGGAACATGTACTGAAGTAGTAGTAAGATACAAGAAGATCTACATAATTCAGCTCCACAGCATCATAAATGAGTCTTCTATTATTATTACATTTCATTGGCATATTTGAAAATATTCCCCCATGCATGAATGTTCTGGCTATGACCGGAGAGAATGTCCAGTGATGACTCATCTATTACAGTCACTGAGAGTGAGAAAAAATGCATCAGAAAGCTCACATATACCATATCACTCCTGTCATAAAGCATGCTTAAGTTAGGCTACATCAAAACTTTCTATAGCACAAAAGGCAGAGATTTCACACTAAGTAACTAGACTCATTCACTGCCTAGATTAATACAGAATGGTTGATTGTGGAGGATTCACATCCATCAGGGTGAAATTTAACATTGACAGCATGAGGTGGGTTATTTCTGCTTTCTACTTAAAGTATTTGACAGAATCATATGGTTTGCTGCAGCACATAAATAAAATAAAAATAATAACTATGTAACCAAGTTTTAAGATTCTTTCCATTAAATCTATTTCCTAATACATCCTCAATTCTGATATATTAATAACCACATACATAATCTTGTATGTCCCTGTGACAGCAATATAATTTTAATTAGTTCCATTGACTACAGGGTATCTGGGAGAAATATTCTTCTTTCTAAATTACAAACTGATAAAATTAAATTTACCTATCAAGTGGTTTGAATTGAAATAGGCAAATAAAAGAGAAAAAAGTGATCTACTTTTATTTTCTGCTTTCCCTCTAAAACAGGAGATACTGCTTAGATTCTTTTTCCTTCTATCTAATTTACATTTAACTTGACTGGTGATATTATGTCTCTAATTTGTAATTTCAGCTGATTACTGATGACGTACATGGGTTTGAAGTGAATCCTATAATCAGCCTTCATTTTCAGGAGTGACTTAGGATTTTGGCTACCAATCTGAAAAGGAACTGATTTCTTTTATAGAAATTATTGAAACATTCACCATCTGAACCTGTAAAGACCTTTACAGTGTATGTTTAATCCCTGAATCACTGATAATTCTTGGCTGTTTCAGATAATTCAGGTCCACCACCTTTAAAGACTAGTGCTTTTCTTTTGTTTTACAGGTTTTCTTTGGTTTTGAATATATCCATCATGACCTCCTTTGAAGTAATTAAAACTCCGTGGTAATAGGAAATCTTTCAGGTAACATAATTGTTTTCCTACTTGATTTATGATAGTTGATTTATTTTACTAATTTTTGACTCAGAATTATTGCTATGCTTTATATATGACAACAGTGGAATAGGGTATTACCATGGGGAAATGGCTCCCTTATTTTCATAAATGAAGATGAAAACTCATGCAATTATTAGAAAAAAAAAAATAAAATGTAGACAAAAAGGGTTTTTTCCAGTCAGTTAGAATTAGTCCTGTGAAGGAGATCTCTGCAGCTATGTCAGATGTCTTGTATGCATACAATAATTTGGCTGGTGCAGTGAGTAAGGTGAAAGTTGCATCTTGTACCATTGTGGAACTGCTGCACTTCTATTACCAGGAATGATAGAACTTTTTCTGTTGCAGAAAAACATATTGCCCATGCAGACAAAATTCTCTTAATTCGGTATGGCTTGTAGCTTTTTTCAGTTTGTGATTAGCAGTTGCATTCAGCTATTTGGCAGTCTGAGAGATTATCAAGTGCTCTTTTCAGTTTCTATTTAGTCTTTGTCTCAGCCTTAAGAAGGTATTTGGTGATTGCTTCGTGCAACAAGCACTTTCTAGATGTCTTCTTACTACAAGCAGCAGGACGGCTTCAGTCAGAGAACTTCTCTCAGTGCAGATGTGTTTCAAGGTGTTTTGATCACCTAATACAGTCAAGGTTACTCTCGTCTAAACAGTATTAATATACATAGGCAGAAAACAGGAAGCAGGGAAGAAAACATTCACTGTAGGAGGAAACATTCTTTAATATGCTGTAAACACCTTCTCTGGTGTACATAAATATATATACATATTACTCTGAATAATGTGTAACATATCAAAATTCATTTTTATCTAGCTAAATTTTTTTTCTGCAGAAATCTGTATAATGCCACCTAAACACACTCTAAGTATCCTCCTCTTTATCTGTCTTTGAAGATAAAATGAAGAACATTTTAGTGTAATTTGCTAGAAGCATAGTTATTTGGAGCAGGCAGTAGTGAGTGCGATAGGATTACTGAGTACCTATTTTCCCCTCAGACTCTGTAAAAGGGAGAGGAAAAGGAGAAAACAGAAACAGCTTAACTCACCAAAAATCAAACCACTGCATTGCCCTCTTAGCCACTGAGTGTTTTGGGATGTAAGACCGAAGATTACATCAGTACAGTAAAGGCTCCCTTCTCTCTCTACCATCATAAACTGTTGGGAAAAAAAAAAAAAAAGCGACAAAAACCCCGCAGCTTTACCCCAGCATCAGAACCAGCAGAAGTCAGAACAGGTAGAGAGGTGTAGAGACTGGGGAGGGAGAGGGAAGGGTTAAAGACATTATCGCAGCCATTAGAGGGAAAAGTTGAAGCAATGCAAGCACGGTAGACTTCTCTTTCCTCCCCTCCCCCCCCCCCCCTTTCTTTCCCCTACTCCTCTCTTCCCAAACTGGATCAGTGTGTAGGGAGGGCAGTCATCACGACATCCTGAGCAGCAAGAGCTGACGCTGAGCGAAGCTGCCAGGTAGCTGAAAAAAGGCGCAGAAAGCAGCTGATACCCACTTTTCAACGGTTTGTGTTTTTTTAGTCTGAGTCTGGACTTCAAGCAACACAGCGCCTGAGACAGCTCATCTGAACCACACTGTGTTGCAATACTCGCTCTTCTCAAGGAAAAAGACTCCATCGAGTAGCAGAATGCTGCCAGTGTCGCAGCGAGGGCTACAATACAGAGGCTTTTTGTAACATTAGAAATTTCTTTCGGTTCATACATTTAGAGATACGTACATACACTCATACATCAGTTCTTTCTTTTTTTTGAGGGCACCTTTGGCTTTTTTTTTTTACCCTGATGTGACTTCTTCATCTTGGAATGATGGGGATCTTTCTAGCTTATGTTGGATTCATTTTCTTTTCAGTTATGTATATTCAACAAGGACTTTCTACCCAAGGTAAGATCCCTTATTTCAGATACGTGTGTGTGGTTTTCTATGCTAAAAGAGACTGAGAACTGGATTGGGGGGGGGGGGGGGGGGGGGGGGGAGGGGGAGAGAGAAAAGAAAGGAAGAAAGGTAAAAGAAGAAAAAAAACCTAAAGTGGATAAGAGATGAGGACAACAAGAATCAGGTTTACATTTAGTTCAAAAACTTGTCTGTAAATAGGAAAAGAAGTGAGAAGTTTCCCCAAAGTAGAAATATAACAGGCTTCCTTTACTTGACTGCAAAGAGGGAAATAACAGGCATCTTGCAGAAGAGTAAAGGGGTTTTGGGGAATGGACATGCATGTGTTTGAGTTCTGACCGCTTGTATATAGGCATGTATGCGTACAAGAAACACCTCCCAGTGCATGCATAATTATTGAATTTAGACCAAATACTGGATGGCTAAATCTACTGCTTCCCCTAAGATGTTGCAGTCTCCTTTCGTGCTGTGTTCGCTTTCCTCTCTTATTATCCGGCAACCCTCAGTCAGACCTTCATTTCGATTCTGTGACTGTGTATTTCTACCATTCCCCACCCCCATCAAAAATGGGAGAAAAAGACAAAATCGACTTCTTTGAATACCTCCCCCCACCCCCGCCGCCTTCCTCCCTCCCTCTCCACCGAAAGGCGCGCCTTGCATTTCAAGCAGCCCCGGCGCTGCAGGAGCCGGTTGTTCGGGACCCCGAGGCTGCGGCGACGCTGTCAGCACCATGGACAGATCGCTCCTGGCCGCCCCCTGCGCCCGCTGCCCGCTGACTCGCCCGGTGCCTCAGTCTCATACCCGCTCCTACCGCCCCCAGCTCGCCGTCCCCTGCTCCCTGCCCGCCTTTCCTTGCCGGCAGCTCCCCGCCGGCTTTGCGCTTGGCGGTGCGACTGGGGAGGATGGCGTCTGTATTCCCCTCCGTGTGCCCCCACACCGCTCACGCGCACTGAGCAGGAGGGGGACAGAACAAACAAACAAACAAACAAGAAAAAAATCCCCCCAAAACAAACTTACTAACCCCGGACACGCATAACGCACAGTCCATTTGGCAGCTTAACTCGGTGACTAGCAATCGCTGACTGGTGGGGGTGGGGGTCAGAAAAGGGGACACTGTGAAACATGAAGATAGCAGATTTGGAAGTATGTGTTCCCAGGCACAAATAAAAGGGGAAGGAGAAGTAACACTGGTTACCAAATTATCCCACCAATTCCAGGTTGGCTAGGAAGATTGGATAGAGAGGAAGAGGGGAGGAGACAACGAGCGATATTTCCTTCGCATCGCATTTCCTTTGCATCATAATATGCTCTAGTCAATCTGTTAACAATGCATAACAGAAAGCGACATTGCAGTGTCTTTCCAAATTTCCTCTTCTTAAAAGACAGCATGTATTTATTACATTGTTTGTCTGTAGTCCCCCTCACTTGACTATCGTGACTCATTATGTTGCACAATTTTAAAGTGAGTTATAGGAAAGGATGAGAAGGAAGCAAAGACTGAGACTTAATTAATGATGTCCTGGACTACTTCTATCAAGATTAGCTTTTAAACCTAGTAGTGGTACACTGAAATGGGCAGATTCGGTTTGTTAAAGGGCTGGGATACAAATGTGAAGGTTAATTCTAGAAAGTGTCTGCTAGGACAGAGAAACAGAAGATGAATTGATTTTTGGTTTGTTTTTACATAATCTTGCAAGTAGAGGTTCTCAGAAAGAGTAACTAATTCAGACAAAGCCTTTAAAATGGACATTTGATGAGTGATTGTAACATGCACTCAGAAGAATGTCCAGAGTTGCCCCTGCCAACAGCTGTTTCAGCTGGCTGCAGAAGGTTTAACAACTTACAGGTTTCCAGCTCAGCCCTTCAAAATACAAAAAATCAGTCCGAATTTTTGTTTCTCTCCTAAATTGGTCTTGCACAAAATCCTTCAGTGAATCTGGTGAAATACTGCATTCTGCCCAAGGGTATTTGGACCTAATTATGTGAAACTTCACTAGCCCATGGGTGCAAGCAGGGGCGTCTATAGCATTTCCTGTGAGCAGAACTGAGAGTGTAAAGAGAATGGATTTGTGCCTAAGGGAGTACAAACATATCTAGGTGTGAGAGAAACCAGGGAAGATAATGTGTGGGAAACTGGAAAAAAAAATAAAAGAAACAGAAAAGAGAGAGAATGAGAAAAATAAACAGTGACATTAAAAAGACAGGGGGAAGGAGAAACAATAAAAAAGGCAACATAAAAAGCAAAGCATAAACGATCAGTAGGTAGCAAGAGATCCCAACATATTATGCATTTGTTTTGCAGCAAAATTCACAGAGTTTCCCCGAAATGTCACAGCCACAGAAGGGCAGAATGTGGAGATGTCTTGTGCTTTCCAAAGTGGCTCCACTTCGGTGTACCTCGAAATCCAGTGGTGGTTTCTGCGGGCAGCTGAGGACCAAGAGGCTGGAGCTGAGGTGACAGGCACTCAGGTACTAATCCTCTGCCATGGATTCCTCAAACCACCTGGAGAATGCCACGGAAGAGAGGAAAGGGGGGAAGGAAAGAAAGGGAGGCCAGAAGGAAGGACCAGAGAGAGGTTCTGTATCTCTCCAGGGACTTAGTTTTGACCATGAAATAACAATGCAGGAACCTGCAGACAAAAATACCCACCTCAAGGGATGGTGCCTTTGGTGCCTGTCACTCCCAGAATGCAGCTAGGGATGCTCACAAAACCACGCAGATTTTTCAAAATCTAATTTTTTTATTATTTTCCTCTCTGTTTCTTTTTTTTTTTTTCTTTTCCTCTATTAGATTTTCCCTTTGGAAAGCAGCTGTTCAAAGACTGCTCCTTGTGGGAATTTTTTATTTCCCAAGTGGCAAGATCCTACACATGCCCTCCAATTTACAGCTAGCACAGTCGAGTTGGCAGCCGTAGGTAGCTGCCACAGGAGGGCACACGCTTGGCAGGGGTGGGGAAAGCAGGAGGGAACAAATACCCCAGAAGAAGCAAAAACCCCAAAATAACACAACTGTACAATTTCATCCTTCCAAGCGGGACAGGAGGGGCCATGTCCACTTACACTGCCATCTGGGGCGCTCTTCCCCGCCTTCGCCTTCGCTGCCCGCTCCTCACCGGTCTCGGCGTTCAGCTGCCCCGAAAAGACTCCCACACCAGCCGGGAGGGAGGTGGGTCCGAGAGGCAGCGCCCCTCGGCCACGCATCCCGGCTGTCCCGGCTGTGCCCGCTGTCCCGGGCTGTGCCCGGCGCGGCCCGCAGGTGGCAGGCGCGGTGCGCCGCTGCACGGGCTCCGCGGCGGGTTGGGAGAGGGGCGCGGAGCGGGGCGCGGAGCGGGGCGGGGGCCGGCCACCCACGGAGGCGCTCCTTTCCCTGCAGGTGGAGCTCCTGCCCGAGCGGGACCTGGACAGCGACGGCACGAAGATCAGCGTAAGTGTCGCCGCAGGGTGCGGGCAGCCCCCCGCGCCGCCGACCGGGGGTCCCTTCCCCAGTAAAAGCCCATCCCTCGGAGGGCCGAGTCTGTTCCTGCCCCGCATCTCCTCCCCATTTGCACTGCAGGCTGCAGAAGGCTGGCAGTCCGCAGCTCAACGGTTGACTCGAAAATCTTAGAGGTTTTTTCCAACCTAAATAATTGATTCTGTGATTCTATGACTTCTTCCTTGCCGGCCCAGGCAAGGTGCCAGGGCATCCCTGCCCCATGCAGCCCCCCACACTCCTGGGCATGGAGGCATTGGCCAGCATGGCACAGGCAGGAGACCATTGACAGACTCCGTACTCTGTGAAGCAGTGCACCAATCCTTCCATGTACCTCTTGTTTTCATTTACCCTGGGTAACTACTGAGCCTGCCTTAGCACTCCAAAGCTGTTTCTAAGGCTGAAATTTGTCTGTGAAGCTCCACTTCCCTTTAGCGGGGTGTACAGCTGTTTAAATGAGTGCTTTCCCAGGGCCATGCCCTCTGGCAGAAAGAAAGCTCAGAAAGACTTTGGTCAAGACCTCCCTCTTGGGAGTAATTTCCACTCTTGGTCCCTGAGACTCTAAGAAAGTAAGATTCTGTCACCAGAGTAACCAATCTGCTGTTTGGAGATTAAACCAGAATGTTGTCTCAACAGAATTATGAGTAGCGTTGCTCCAGCCCTTGTCCAGGGAAAGGATCTCTTCCTCAGCAGGCCCACGTCCTGAGTCAGGCACAGCCACAGGGCTGTTTCTGACCTCAGAATAGTTCAGACCCTCCTTCCTCAGCATCCCAAGAAATGTATAGTGGTGGGGTCATGGTGTGGTGCTCACTGCAGTGGAAAAACACAGATACTTAGCAGATACTGCAGCATGAGTGTTCTCTATCAGCCCAGAGGGGTTTTCCCTTTCCCTGGTAAAATCCCTTTGGAAGTTCCTTCTAGCTACAGCCAAGGCTGTAAGTACCAGCAAAACTTAAAACAGCAACAAATAGAGGTGGATAATTTCTGTTAAATCTTTTACTCTGCTGCTTTTGATGCCTACAAATAACTAATGAAATAATTACATCAAGTCAAAGTGCGGCAAGGTATAGCTGAAGGGCATTTATAAATGAGAATTGAGATACACTATGTTCAAAACAATACTTATTCTAGCCATACTTACATTTCCTATGATACTTCTCACCATACACTATAAAAAAATTTGTATCATGGACCGTATATTCAGTTACATTTGTAGATTATCTTACAAACGAGGTCCACATGTAGTCTTTGGATACTATTCCACTAGACAGGGGCCTAGCAGACAATTCATTACCTATCAATACTGTCTCCTTTAAAAATCTCTGTAGTAATCCATAAGAACTGAAACACAATATAGGCTTTAAAGCTTGTCTCATCTCTGAAGTAACAAATCTCTTTCATTGTTTATGATAATAATTCATAATGGGATATTTATAGTGTTTCTATAAGCTTGCATAAAACATTTATTTTACATTTGTAATAAAAAGAAAGTAAATGTTTCATAGATGTCTAAAATCACTTTTTACAAATGTAGCTGTTTTTTCTTTTTTTTCTGAAGACATACTCAGTCTCCATGAGTATTACTGTAAATTATCATCATGAAAAGAAGAAAAAACTTTTAAGTGCTTTTAGTAATCTTTAAAGAAATGCTAAAATATACTGAATGTTTGCTAAAATACACCTCTTTATCAGTTTTAAATCATAATCAGGGACAAACTGAAAACATGCATATGTGCTAACAGGAACGATTTCTAAATTTCAAATGCAAAAGCCAAAACTAATCCTGTTTTTCACCAGTGCTATGCAACACTGTTAACTTTGTGGTTATTTTATGGAAGCAAATGAAGGCAAAATATGACCTATGCATCCTCTTTCCATTCATACGAAACTTCTTTAATACTTTTGCTGAACATAAACTGTTCAGGAGAGATATATTATTATTGAATATGGTTTAAATAACTATCCAGCACTTTCTGTGTAATTGATATCACACATATTATGCTTGTAAGTGTGCAATCCATACTTTCAACTCAGTTTGCCAAGTATAAATTCAGAGCTGGGTGCAACACAACAGACTATAAAGTCCGTCCAGCACCTTAAAGCAATAACATATTCACAAGTGTTGCTCTTCAATTTATCAAGCAGGCAGAATAGGTGCTTTGCCAACACTGGTGACTACAGTATGCCAAGCTATCAGAAACAATGTTTTCTACAATCACCAATACCATGTGCTAACTTCAATCTAACAGTTCTCCAGTTTTGTTAACTACCATGAATTCATCATCCTGATGTTTCCTTTTGATATGACACAAAGCAACCTTTACATCCATGTTTATGTAACAGTGAAAGTAAACCAGGTTCAGAAGTTCTTCAAAGTTGAAGTTTTAGAGACCACTGAACATGTTTTAACTGGCTTCTGGTAGGGAAACATATTAATTCAGATAGAGAGTAAGAGAACATTAATGAAATATAAATTCTCTAAAGTGATGAATATACAGAAAGGAACCTGTGTTAACTTTTCCCAATGCATCTTAATACCTATCGCATATTTCTGAATGTATAACTTACTCATGTGTTTCAATTATCTGAAACAAAAATATGTTATGTTGCCTTCAAATATTAAAACCAATTAAAAATAAAACAGAAGTCTTTTTTCAGCTGACAACTCTTAAATCGATCTTGAATATGTACTGATATATAACTTTCAATAAGTACATACTTATATAAACGAGACAAAAGAGGCTACCTGACACAAAATGTCTTGTTATCATTAACAGACAAAAAATACCAAGGCTTTGGATACACTTTAAGGAGATAAACTGAATGTCAAATATACAGTTTCAATGTAGTGAAGAGTACAAACTAATCTAATAATTAGTTATTTACGTAGTTTAAATCTTGGAAAACATCTCCAGCAAAATTGTTAATGCACTAGTTCAAAAACTGAATTATTCAATTAAGTCAACTCACGGGAAAGGTTTAACCAAAGAAGTGCACAGATACCAGGTTTACATAAGAAAGCTCATTAAGAATATTCATGATCTTAAGCAATTAATTGAAATGAGCATGGTAGTTTTGGTTATTTGTCTGAGGCTAATTATATTTCAGAGGAAACCATCTAAGCAAATTTGGAAAGAAAATGTAAGGCATCCTCATAGACACAGTTAGCCATACTCATCCTTGATGTAACCTCCCTGCAGAAAGCACAATCACACCATTGATTAATTTGGCACTATGTCAGTAGAGTCAGTAGAGTTTGTAGAGAAAGAAAAATTCCTGACAACATATTTGTGTCTTTGTTTTCTTTTCCTGGCAAATTTGCAGACAGTGAAAGTACAAGGGAATGACATCTCCCACAAGCTGCAGATTTCAAAAGTGAGGAAAAAGGATGAAGGCTTGTATGAGTGCAGGGTGACCGATGCCAACTATGGAGACCTTCAGGAATACAAGGCCCAGGCATTTCTCAAGGTCAATGCTAACAGCCACTCTCGGCGAATGCAAGCCTTTGAGGCATCCCCAATGTGGTTGCAAGACATGAAACCTCGTAAAAACATCTCAGCAGCTGTCCCAAGTAGCATCCACAATTCTGCCAATCAGCGTGTGCGTGCCACCTCCAGCCCCGAAGCAGCAGCCAAAATCCCCAAACAAAGTCCACAATCAGGTATGGTAAAGCATTTTGAGCTTTCATTTGATTGCTTACCAGCATGCAAAAGGAGGCTAAATCAACAAGGTAACCAGGAATTGTGACTAGGAAGAGTGTGGTGCTCAGTTATTCCTCCTTCTTTCTGGTTCTATTCTTCTTGATATCTGCTTACTTCCTAAAATTTGAAGAATGAATTTCCGAGCAGAAGAAGCAAAAAACCTTAAACTTCTGTATGTGGATTTTATCTCAACTGGTTTTATCTACCTAGGGCTAACTCTCAAATCGAAGTTTAGCTTTCCCTGTAGTGTTTGTGGAGAGAGAGGGCCATGTCAGTGAATGACTCATTTCATTTTAAGATGGCTGTGCATGATAAATTAAATAAAACACTCATGCAGATGTGTTTCTTCCTAAGTTATTTTGCACCAGTCACCTAATTTTTGTATTTCCAACATTTGGTGAAATTAATTTACTTTTAGTATCAATCCTATTTTCATAAGGAACTTGTCTTCTAAATCTAAGCAAACCTTAGATACGCCACATAGTTTCTCTGTTGTGTAGGATTTAGAAAGACCATGAGTTTGCCAGAAAATGTGTTGTCATCTGCAAGTGCTTGACCATCAGCTTTAAAACAAGGGTTGAAATTGAAATGCCACCATTCTCTGTCATGTAGAAATGAACATACTACACATTTTGTTTGGGGGATTTTGTTCAGCACTATATAAATAACCTATTATCAATATCAGTCTGCGTTTTCTACATTGATACAGTAAAATTCATAGTTATGCAAAGGCTTATGAATATACAGGAGGTGCAGTACTATATGATGGCAATAGAGAGATGGACAGGATAAAAAATTGAGACATTGAAAATTATCAAATATCCTCTGGAAAACAAACTGTGTAAGTTGAAGGGTTTCTGAGCTACTTCTGTTTACACTGAAGGCCCAATGTAAGGCAGGAAATCACAACATACCTTAAAATATATAATGGAAAATAACCTAATTAGCTCTGATGCATCATTTTTCTGCTAGTGTGTTATTAAATAAAAAGCTGTGAATATCATAAATTTAATAGCACATCTACTGTGAAATCACTTTCATCTTACAGGCATACTATTAGAAAAACTTTTTCATAAGGAAAATACCTTTCACTACAGATTGGAACAATATGATTATTCATATGAAAATTCTTATATTTGTATTGCTCCTAGAAAAGCTGGTGTATGTGCTACCACTATTTTATCTCTGTATACATTTTTTAAGCTTGTTTAAAAGTTACATCCAGTTCTCCTTCCCTGAAATTGAGCCACTTTTATTTTTTAGCTCTTCCAAAAAACATCTAAGCTGTTAAAAGAAAACAAATATTTCAGTTTATATTAAACCATCATTCTATCATTGCTTTGCTCTCAGATAAATGTATAAACTGCTTATTTTCCATTGGACTTATACATTTCAAAGCAGCAGACTTTTCTATAAATGGAAAACTCTGGTTTCTTTTCAGTCTATGTGAAATTAATTAAAAGAGTTAGAGGTTTATGAAATATGTAGCAACAGACTACACTGCATTACAGCCAAAGTATATAAAAAACCAGCTAATCCACTAAGTCATTTTTGATATATAATTGAATCTATAGTATTGTTTATGTCTTTAGTCCAAGAAATATCTTGACTGATTACTGGACATTGGCAATTTGAGAGCAGTAGATTATTACATGGAAAGGTCCCTGTGAAAAGAAAAAACAATACAGAAAAACTAATCCTTTATTTTTTACTTGAGCAAAGATTACTGCAGATCAAGTGCAGACAATCACAATCATAAATAATTTAAAAATTAAACAGATAAAAATATAATTTATGTTTGTTTTTTTTTATGAAAAAGCACTGGCAAACTCTGCATTCATCAGAGGTGTAGCTTATGTACTGAAGAAACAGAGTGTACCAAAAATCACTATTAGGCCTAATTTGAATTTAATAGTTGCTTGCTACACTAATTATTTGTGATATTTTTGATGAACATCAGTTTAACTCATGAGAACCAAGATTTACTTTCTTTTACTTCAGAAAATCTTGGCCTCACTTTTCCAGCTATGGTGAGATTTGGATTTTCACTCCATTTTACAGTCATTCTACACTAACAGAAATACCCATGGGAACAAAAGGCAGGGAGGGGGTTTAGCTCTATGTAACTTTGAGGAGCAACTTCAGCTGAGGAAAGGGAGATGTCAGTTGTGAGACCTCAAAAAAGCAAAAAGAAGTCATAGACATTAACAGTCTTCTTTTTACGATGCAGAATCAAGTCTCCTTATTTAATCAAATGAGAAACTCTTCCCTTCTTGATCATCATACTAACTATATATATGCATGCACAGACAGCTGTGTGATTACGCTATATGTAAGCAGTGTATCCATCCAGCCTAGAACACACAATCATGTTTGAATACAAATGTATCACTATTAACTACATGTTTTGAAAGACATAGAGGTTGATTATGATGTGTTTGTTAACGTTGAGTAATACTACTTGAAGGGAGAAATATTAGTAACCATAGGCAATTGTATCAAATATTCTCCAATATTAGGGAGCTGGTGCATAGTTATTGGCAAGCAATAAATTTCACTGCCATGATCACGGATTATTGTAAAACACGTTTACAGCAATGGGAAACATGACACACTGAAATTATTGGGAATTCTCTATTCAGCCATTTCTGAAGAGATCAGCTACTAATATATGAAAAATTGACTCTGATTTTATTAATATTTTGTCCCCAAAATTTATTTTTGAAAGGTAGATAGCACTCTATTCGACGACTTCTATCCCGAAGCACACTGCAGAATTTCATTTATTTCTTAACAATAGATATTTAATATGTAGCTCCAGAAAAGCAGTTTACAGTCACCACCATTTTAAAACATCATCATTTCCCAACTGAATAGATATTTCTGCTATTCTCCTTTACGCAAAAGTAAAAATATCTGTGATAACTGTGAGGGAGCTAAATAACCAGGGCTGACAAATTAAAGTGGTATGAGGTCCATTCGGTATTTTGCACTGCTCTGAAAACACTATGCAAGTGTAAAAAGAAGATATTTATTATTGCTAGGGTAGTGGAGATTCAGTATAGGATGAAATAGCTAACGAGAACAGACACTCCCACAGACAGTCTTCATACAATATACTAAGAAGCCCTAAATGACTAACTCAAAGTCAGAAAAGTCAGGAAAGAAAAAGTCAAAGCTAACACATCTTGACCCTTTCATTTCATAATTATGGACTGCAGCAAATGAAGTAACCCATCACAGCGTAGCAGGAATCTGAGTAATTTGACAGGGTAATCTGCATATATCCAGAAATTGTCCTATGTAGGTGGAGTGACAGACTTTTTTTCCTGCATAACTCATAACAACCTATCTTATTCCAAAGGCAAGAGCACAGAGTTATGACAAATCCTTGTAACTCTAAACAATGCTGCAATTAAATGGAGTCCAAGAGCTAAAATGACTTCAGGTGAAAGGAAGCTAAACAGTCTCCAGGCTGCACCAAATGTCACTGTTTCATGGATACAAATCTGGACAAACTTTGCTGCCTGAATTCAAGTGACTCAGCATTTATGACAACAAAAAGGTCTGAAGAATTTGTTGTACTGGGAATGTGTATATCCCATTTGTTGTGCTGGAAATGTGTATATCCTCCAAACTCTTCCTGTTCTGCCAATGCCGTTAAAGCACTCAAAACCATTAGTTGCTTTTCAGACTCAAGAAGATCAGTCTCAGAGAACTCAAAAAGGGAACAACTACAAATGAAGAAGTGACAATAAGGTTTATTTTCTGTCTGCTTACATATGGACTCTTCACATTTCTAGCAACTTTTTGTTATTTCATGAAGTAACAAATTCAACTATTAACCTAACTACATGCCAAAACTTCCTGTTGATGATAGCGGAGTTGCAGTGAGTGACTTGAAAAGGAGAAGGTGGTCCTTACCTAAGGCAGAATGGTCTGGATTCTTGGCATAATAAATCACACTGAGAAGCTGATCATCAGGCATGAATGCAAAAGAAGAGGATTAAAACATGTTTCATCTGTCTGTTGATACTCATAAACTGATGGCATACCTTCCTGTCTCCGTTTTAATCTACGGAATCTAGGAATCTTCTATTATTAATCTATTTTAAGCAAAAAAATTATGTCCAATTTGAAATCTTCTGAGATATAAACCAACTTCTGTGTTGTTGTTTTTTTCTTTTTTATTTATGTTCCATCTCCTCTTAAAGCAAAGGAACAAATGTCTGCTCTAGTCTCCATCAAGGTGATGGCCAACGTTACTGTTTTCTTCACTAAGAGAGTCTTTAGGTTTCACAGTTACTCTTTTAGAAATATGAATATCCATAAGGTTGGGAGGCACCAACCGTTATTGTGACTGTGGCACAACAAAAAGTCAAGTCTCTGTTTTTTTAAGAGTTCATTAAAGCAAAAGCCAAGCGACAGTTCTGTTGTTATTCAGCTGTTCTCAGAAATTCTTACAAGATGATAATGCAATGACTATCCCATTTTAAACCTGTATACACTGCAATCTCTGCTTCTACTTGAAATTTACGCTTTCATTCCCTCTTCCTGAAAAGAAGCTGCTCCACCTTTTTTAGATCCTCTGAAATAATGGAATAAGTTCAAACCATGTTACTTGATGTAGCCCTAATAACTAGTTAGCTATTGACCTTGGAACTGTAAACATCTTTTGAGAAGTGCTAATCTTCTCCAAATAACTTAGATGGCAATGCAAGATATTTATAGCAGCTAACCTTTTTTTTTTTAGGCCAAGTCTTCCAATATAGAATGAACTCACTAATGTCTTATGTTTCTTTCAAAAACCCCACATCTTAATTCCTTATTTTTGCATAATTACTGATCAAACAAAATGCATACAAATACTTAAACTCCCGTTCCTAGTGCTTAGTTCATCTAAATGCAGTAACAAACTCTTCTCAGTTTATCTGCAGTTCTAAGTCCTGTCACAAGCAAA